GAAAACGCTAGACGAAAACGCACTACATGTAATAGAGCGCGCCAAATTAAAGCGATTTTAACGCGCGTTACCGCGTGTCACCGCTGTATGCTACGGTTTTGCGTTTTTGCCGCTTCAACCGCTTGCTATTGAAACACATTATTTTCATTGATACGGCACACACTACAGCGGTTACAACGCGCGGTTCCGTTTTTCAAAATTATTTAAAAAAAAGTTATATTTTAAAAAGTTTTCTAAATGATTGATATTGATTTACTTATAAACGAAATTGAGAAAGAAGAGTGTCTATGGAAAACCACTTGTAACAATTATATGGACAAACATGCTAAACAAAAATCGTGGACAAATATAGCTAGTATAATGTGTAATAATTGGAACACGTCATCAGAAAAAGAGAAAAAAGCTTGCAGTAAGTTTTTTTAAAATCTATGTATTAATTAATAATTAATAAAAAAAACTAAATATTATAATATTATATAATTATATGTATTACCTCAATATATACTTTTATAATATATTATGAAGTAATAACCTAAAATTATGAATGTAACTAAATAACATATATAAGTAATCAGTAATGCATAATGTTCGAATTTAAGTACTTAAAATACATATTAATATAATATCAAATTATATTATAAATTATAATTTACACACTATTCAGTCTATTCTATGATATTTTATGTTAACTACTAAAAATACAGTACAGAAAATAAAAATATGTATATATTATAATATATTATAGGTACATTCTTGAATAGACATTTTTCAAAATACACAAGAAAAAATAATTTAATTTTAGTTTTAATATAAATATATAATATTATAATTTAGCAAAGCATAGGTAGTTTATGATTTTGATATTATATTTGATTTCAATATTAACTTAAAATGTATAAATAGTTGAAACATAACAATATTTTAAAATAGATTCTTAATAATTATTATTTTGATACTAGGTATCTTTATTATTTTTAAAAATAAATTGTACTTATAATTTATAAACCTATTTTTAAACTTGATTTTACCATTCAACTGTTATTAAAATTACTACAACTTAAAAGTATTATGAAGTTAAAATATTATTATGGTAGGTATATTTTCACATAAAATTTAAAATAGTGCTATATAAAGCGATATTGAAAAGGTACTGATCCAGAGTTAAGGAAATATTCAGAAAAATACTCTCTAACGTCTATCCCTTGTTGGCTAGCTCCTAGATTTCTATTTGAGTTTCTATTTTGAAAAACTTCCATATCATTTGAAAGAGTGTCTTCAAATTTATACCCGTCTCTACGCCTGACATAATTATGTAAAATACAACACGCTTTTACTACATCGTCTGCAAAATCTGGCGCAACTAACATAGCACTATGTAAGACGCGCCATTTGTTTGCCAATATACCAAACGTGCATTCGACGTATCTTCGAGCTCTCGATAGACGGTAATTAAATATTTTTCGTTTTTCTGTAAGACCACGTTCAGCATATGGTCTCAAAAGATTTTTATGTAATCCAAATGCTCCATCCCCAATAATAACATACGGTTGTGGACAGGTGTTTGTATTAGGTAAGCAAGTAGGTGCTGGTAAGTTCAACTGCTCAGAATAAAGTTTTTTTCCGAATGGACATTCTTTAAACACCGTAGAGTCAGCCTCTCTACCATATGCACCAACATCAATAGCAGTAAAAATATACTCTGCATCTACAACAGCCATCAGTACAATGGAAAAATACTTCTTATAATTAAAATATATTGACCCCGAATTATTCGGGTTTATACAACGAATATGCTTCCCGTCGACTGCTCCAATACAGTTTGGAAAATTAGTTTTCAAATAAAATTTGTTGGCTATTTCTGTCCATTGGTTTGGGTTTGGTTCTGGCATTTCTTGAGGCTGTAAGGTCTCCCATAAAATTTGACACGTCTCTCGAACTATACTACTTATAGTGCTTCGTCCGAGTAAAAATTCGAACTGCAGGGCCACAAAATTTGTTCCAGTTGACAAATATCTGAAATAGTATTATGTAAAAAATACTTTGAATATATATAGCTTAAATACAAATATACGATATTCGTTTGTATGATCACATTTATTCAATAAAAAAATTTTAAACGCGTATATTGTATTTACATATTATATTTTATGAAGTTGATCCTTGTAATCTACCTATTTTTTATTCGTCAAAAAATTATATTTAAAATATTCTAACGACATATTATATGATATGAGTATTTTTTAAAACCAAACATCTGGTTTAAGATTATGAACGGAATAAGAAATGTATTGATTTTACAGTAATGAATTTATGTTTTATTTTATTTTTTTTTTTGTGTCAGTCGTCACATTTTGGAGTAGAAATAATGCTTTGATTATTCACAATAATTTAATGTAGTATTTATAGGATTACGTCTTAGATTGATTATTATTAAATAATATTTAAAATAAAAATTATATATATTCATTTTTAAATATCAATTATAAAGGTTAAGAATTTATATATATTACTATTGTATAGAATGATTTATTTTTATTTTAATACTAATATATCAGGTATATTAATATATTATTATTATTATTATACTATAATTGAAAAAAACCATATCTAATTCTAATTCTTTACTTTCTAGTTTTTTTCTTTAGATAGTTATATGTTAAAACTACATATTCTACATGTTTTAATTATCAAAATGGCAAAATACCAACCATATGTTTACTAAAATAAAATTACTAAAAATTATTTAAATAACTGCCATGTTTGAAAATTAGTCGAATAATTTTTTATTCGAATAATTGTGAAATAATTATCACAATAAAAATTATTATCTAAAAAAAAATTTATTCAAATGACGCCCTACTCTGTTTATATCTACTTCTTATTTTTTAGTTGATGAAATAAAAAAAAAGTGGAAAAATATTAGGGACAATTATGCTCGGGATTTAAGCCAGCAAAAAAATACTGCTAGTGGGAGTGCATCAAAGCTCACTAGAAAGTATGCATATGCAGATGTACTTTCTTTCTTACAACCAGTACTAAAAAAAAGAAAGTAAGCTTATAATTTTTTTTTTACAATTATTTTTTAATTATGTAACAAATAATTTTTAGAACAACGGGCAATATATCCACACCTTTAACTATAAATGAGTCAGACGATACTTCTAATATCGAATTTAATGAAGATAGCTTTATGGAGAACAATGATTCAGTGGATATTATAAATATAAGTACTTCTGAGAATACTAGTGCTTCTGACCATACAAGTACTCTTGAGTCAAAAAATAAAAAACAAAAAATAACAACGTTTCAACAAAGTTTGCTAGAAATTATGAAAAACCCTCCAATTATGAAGTCCAGTTCTGAAGAATTTGATCCAGACAAAGCATTTTTATTATCATTCTTGCCAGACTTCAAAAAAATGAACGACAATCAAAAATTAGATTTTAAGATTTTATTTATGCAATCCGTAAAACACATTTTAAATCCTCCCACCGATAGTTCTCAACTTTCAAACATACAACAATTCAACTATCCTAACAACTTTTATAATCCTCCTAACTCTTATATTCATTCACTAAATCAATTCCCTGTACAAAGTTTTCATTCAAGTGTTACTCCAAATGTACATCCCATTTCGAGTCATTCTCAACCGCCTCTAAATTCGCTGTCTCCTACTGATTATGAGGATATAAACATGCATCACAGTGTTTGATCTTATAAATTTTACTGTTTTAAAAAAAATTGAAGTGATTATTTTTTATTATTTTTTATTATTATTTGTTTTTCTACTTAAAAAGGTTCAGAGTCGAAATATTTATTTTATTCAAAAGGTATTAAATTTTACTTTGTTTTTATTTGCTATGATATTTATTATAAGTCATCCTATTAAAGTGTATAAGATGTACGTTAAAAAAGAAACTAATTATTATTTTTACATTATTTAATGATAATATTCTAAGAAGATAATTAAATAATATTGTTTATAGACACATAAATAATAAATATATATGCATATTTATGTTATATAGATTTTTAGTTTGTACCAGATTGTAATAGTTAATCTCTCTTCTGGGCTTACTGGACGTCGAAACTTCGTTGTTTTTTTGGTTATTTTTTGACGCAATTTTTCAAGTAATTCATCAAATGATGCAATTGACATTCTATAGTACTCAAAAAATTTGTCCGAGTACTTTCGAATATCATAATAAAAATTAAAAAATCTATTGCTAGGTTCACGGTTTAGATTAAATGGGTGAATCCAAAACTCTCTCTCTCTTCTTGGTGGATCAAGATACCCAAATGATTCTGCCACTGCTATTACTTGAATCGCATTAATATAATAATCATAGTCCATACTGAATAAATACATAAATAAATATTAGATAATAGTTTGTAGTATTAAATAATAAATCAATTAAAAGAACACACGAATACTCAATAAAATACTAAATAAATAAAGTAAATAAATGTAATTTACTTACCTTCTGGATGAGTTTTTAAATATTTATAAAATTGAAAAATATTGGTGTAATATTATCCTGATTATTGTATTAATATATTATTATTTGATTAGTTAATTAATATAATAAAAACAAATTACTGTTTTTTATATTAATATGTATTTGAGAATCGCAATTGTGAACTGTACTGCTCAACAAATTTGAGTCAACTAAACGCAAAATAAACGCTTTAGTGTGACACTAAAAACGCGCGTTAAAACCGCGAGCAAAAATGAAGCGTTTTTACCGCGCGTCAAAACTGCTCTAGTGTGGCGCGGCCCTTATAAAATCTGTTACCGAAAAAAACATTGTTGAATAGATAATAAGGTGTTATCGTTTATTCATAGATAAATAAATTTGCATTATACGAAAGCTTACAATGTGGCTTACTCTGGTCTTAAGATATTTAATATATGCTTAATAAATCAACAAAATAATGCAACTGGCCAGAACTGGTATACTGGCCCTACATATTTATGTATATATATATATGTACAGGCGATGTCTGTCATCACCAAGAGTTTACATGAAAACCAAAATACCAATTCTTATTTAAGTTTTGATGCAAGTCAAGAGCTTGAAATAATTTCTCGTATGTGGAGTAGATCAATAAGAGAAAACATTGCCTTGGAACCTTATCAAATACTTCAAGTACTAATTTTAGAAATCAATGGTATTAAATATCATGAAAGTTTGTAAAGTTAAATATTGAGGTATAATTAAAAAGTATCATTAATATTTTTGTTTTTAGATGCTACGTTATATGAAATAAAGACTGTTGGTGTAGGATATAAGCCATTTGATGATTCTTTACTAGAAATTTTTATCCTAGCAAGGTAATTTAAATTATATTTAAATTATTAAATAAACGATTTATCAATCTATATTTAAATCAATTTTTAATACTATAAAAGGCTTATAAACTCGGATATAGGTAATAGGTTATAATTTATTTTAATAAAACTTATAACCAGAAGCCGTAACTTGTAATCCATACTTAGCTAAAGTATTAATAACAAATAAATTGGTTTATCAAAGAATATAAATTTAACAAAATTATAATATTTATAAAACCAGAACAATATTAATAAATTATAGTTGTAATTTTTATATATTAGAGTACACGCCTAGAAAATTATAATGAAAATACAGTCAAATTCGCTTATTACATGCCGATAACAACGATATTCCGAGTAAAATAATTCCAAGCAATGTATTTGGTTGGTTTTATATCATATGTTTAGTTACTTTTTATAATCTCGATATAACAAAGTTCAGTTATAACGATCGGATTGTCTAGGTACTGTAATAGTATTATTTTATTTCATAAAAATTTAGTTCTTAAAATATTATATAAAACTAAAAACAAAAAATATGGAACAAAATTAAAACTTTTTAAGTAGGTTTGAAATCATAGAGTTCCCAAATCTCTTTCCCAACAGTTTATTCCTCAACTTAGAAAGTGTTAAAACTAGTCTTCGAAAATAATGTTTTCGAAGGAACAGATAAACCCATGATAGACAAATATTTTTGAGCAACTGCCTACATATAAATTTGGATATACAGTTTTCATGTTTTCCCAGCATTGAAATAGATTTTCTTTTAAAGAAATTAAGGGCTGTAATAAGTAGACATTTACATTGTTCGTTTCTGCTGAATCTAGTTTTGTTTGTTTTTTTTTTATATTTCCTATGTATCAGTGTTTTGCGGTATTCCCTTAGATCAAAGTTATCACATTGCTGTTCTTCGCCCATACTTGATCATTTAGTTAAGCTTGTTTCTTGTATTTAAATGTTAACCAAATTTATTACCTCTGCAATGGCTTTTTGACAGGCTACAGATTTTTAAACCAAGAGTGTAAAATTATAGCTATAGGAAACATATTGAAAAATTCAATTTCAATAAATTTTTTTTTTTAATTCTGTGATAATATTTCTTTTTAGTTTATTTCCAATTTTCAAGTTAAGTTGTAATGATTCCATTTAACAATAACATAATTTTACTAATAGTAAAATATTAAATATTTCTTGAGTAACTTTTTCAAATGGTCGTAGTAAATTTGTTTCATGCAATCGTTGTAGCTCTCTTGCTGTGAGAATTTCAGGACCTGATAGTTTTTTGCAGAAGAACATCGGAAAGAAATTAAGACAATATTAAAAACCTGTGACAAGATTCTTATATATTTCATTAAAATGATTTTATAATTTTCCAATAAATCAATAAAATTCATCTATTTTAGATTTTTATTTTATTTTTTTTATTAATAGTAGATAATATATGTTCATTGTATTGGGTGTTATTTTAAGTTCTGATTTTAGTAACTCTGTTTCTAATTTTTAATGTTGTGATAAAGAATTTAGGTCATCATAACTTTTTTTTTTTTTAAAAATATATTTGACTTTATTATGAAAAATTACAATCTATACATCGAGTACAATAAGTAATATAAATATTTTAAAGATAGTTCACAGGTTAAATTATATACATGAAGGGGAAATCACACATTTGTGACACCCCTGAATATTTTAAGTACTTAATCTTAAGTTATCAGGTCACGGCACCAGTTTCTTTTGAGGCGTCTTGCTGGGTTGCCGGGGAGTGTAAGTGAAGCTAATGCGTTTATCAGTTGATTAGGATTATCTCGTAGTTTGGAGTGGAAGCGCTTGTAGAAGATAGAGGCAGTTTCATTGATGGATTTTAATTTGAGGTCATTATTTAATGACTCATTTGAGACAAACCAGGGTGCACCAGTGATTACACGTTGAAATATGTTTTGGAAGGCTTGAATAGTTTTTTTATTTGAATTTTTTGCAGAGCCCCAGATTACGATGCCACACGTCCAGATTGGTTTAAGAAGAGTTTTATATAGGATTATTTTGATAGGTATAGTTAAGTTCGAACGTAGGAGTGGTCTTAAAAGGTGGAGTCTGGAATTAAGCTTTTTTCGCTTATTCTTTAGATGCGGAGACCAAGTCAAGCGTCTGTCTAGTATAAGCCCGAGGTATTTAACTTCGGTCGAGTGAGGGATATCAATGTTGTTTATTGATACAGCTGGACAGCTATGAGGTCGAAGTGTAAAAGTGATAAAGGAAGACTTAGATTCGTTGATTTTTATCTTCCAATTGGTGAACCATTGTGAAAGATTATTTAGGTGAGTTTGTATTTGTTGAGATGCAATGGTATGATCAGAAGAAACTGATAATAAGGCAGTATCATCAGCATATGTTCCAACTATAGTATCTTCAGATGTAGGCAGGTCTGACGTGTATATGGTATATAAGAATGGAGCGATATCACTGCCTTGAGGGACACCAGCAGAGATAGGAAATTGATTGGAGTGTTGTAAGTTGTGCCGGACATTAAATGAACGATTTTCAAGATATGATTTCAGCATTAGGTATAAAGGGGCAGGAAATATTTTTTTTAGCTTAAAAAGAAGACCTTCGTGCCAGACGGTATCAAATGCTTTCGCAACGTCTAGAAAGACTCCTGCGCAGTATTTTTTGGTTTCGAGTGCTGTTGAGATGGTGTCCACTACACGGTGAAGTTGATGAGTTGTAGCATGAAGAGATCGGAAACCAAACTGGAAGTTTGGAATCCTGTTGTTCAATTGCGCAATGGTAGTGATGCGCTTGAGGATGACTTTTTCTAATATTTTTCCAAGAACCGATAGAAGGCTAATAGGCCGGTACGAGGAGGGTTGTTCTGGAGGCTTACCAGGTTTGAGTACAGTGACAATGACTGATGATTTCCAGGTAGTTGGGAAGTAAGATAGGCGAAGGGCAGCATTATAAATATGTGATAGATGAACAATTATTTTCGTAGGGAGATTTTTAACAACTTTGTTGGAAATAAGGTCGTGGCCTGGAGATTTATTATTTGCAAGTTTTTTTATAATGCCTACTATCTCCGCTGGGGAGGTTGGTTTTGCAGGAAGTGCCATAGGTAAAGTTGATTGAAGTGAATTCATAACTGTCGACATATGTAGTGCTGGTGTGGGAATAAGATGTGGTTTGAATACTCCTGATAGTTCTTCGGCAAGAATATCCGCTTTTTCCTTATCTGAGAAAGCAAGTGAGTTGTCTGGGCGGCGAATTGGAGGAGGGGAGTCCTTAATTCGCAATATTGACTTTGTTTTACGCCAGATTGATCCGTTAGAAAAAGAGAGGTTTTGAATATGACTTTTGTACAGATTGGTTTTGTGAGTTTTAAGTAGTGACTTTAGTTTATTGGAGAGAAAGTTGTACTTAATTTTATCTGCCGGGTAGTGAGTATGTTGCCATTTAGATCTGGCTCTGCGTTTTTCAGCAATGAGTCGTCTTAATTCTGGTGATAGATTGAGCGTTTGAGAATAGGGTGGGTTCTGGGTAGATGAGTCCAAGGCTGCTTTTTGAATATCCTCAGTGAGTTTCGCAATTGCTTGGTCGACGTCAGTGATTGATTTTAATTTTATATTTAGAGTAGTTTTGTTTGAGATGGTATCTTTGAATTTGTTCCAGTTTGTAGTACCTGGAGTAATGGTTGGTCTACTTTTCTTCAGAGAGGGATGTGCTCCGATTTGTAGCAAGACAGGTGTATGATCAGAGGCTGGGTCATTTAGATTAATAATTTCAGTAGAAAAACGATTTGGAAGATTGGTTATAAAGAAGTCAAGAGTGTCGGGATGACGGTTGATATGTGATGGCCAATAGGTTGGAGAAAGGGACGCTATTACCTTAAGATGATTGAGCGAGATGAAGTTTTGTAGGGTACGGCCTCTGGTGTTTGTTGACCGGCTCCAAGTTTGATGTTTAGCATTGAAGTCAGCGCCAATAATATGGGTAAAGCGTAGAGATTGAACAAGATTACCGAGTTCTGCCGAAGGGAAAGGTCTTCCTGGGGGAAAATAGCATGAAGAGATAGAAATAGTTACGGAGTTTATTGTTATTGAAGTGCTTGCTGCTTGAATATTTGTAGACAGATATGGTGGAAGAGGTGCATGGTCAATTTTATTGGAGATAAGGAGAGCAGAGCCTCCATGTGCAGTGCCATCTGGATGGTCAGCTCTGATAATATCGAATCCGGGTATCTTGAGTGTAGAGGTTTTAGTTAAGTGAGTTTCAGAAATAAGAGCAATTGTAACTTTTTTTTCATTAAGAACTACTTGTAATTCGTTTAAATGTTGTAGGATGCCGTTAGCATTCCATAAAAATATGGAGAGTGGTTGTAAGTTATTTGTTGGCATTATTAATGAGTTTGTCAATGACTGTGGTGAGAAGTGATATGAGTGGGTTAATTAATGCTTTGAATTCGTTAATAAATGAGGAGAGTTGTGCAGTGATATTTTGGTTGTGGCTTGAGTTGGTATCTTGAGTGTTAGAAGATGAGTTTTGATTTAATGGTGGGAAATGTTGTGTGTAAGTTTGATGCGAGGATTCGTAGGCATTCACTCCAGGTGGTTGGCGAGGTTGGGAACTTTTATTCGAGAAATTCTTTGAAGGGTTCGGTAGTAATCTTTTTTTAAGATCCAGGTGAGATTGGCAACCCCTAAAGTTAGCCGGGTGATTTCCGCCACAAAGTGCGCATTTAGCCGGGGAGCTGCGATCCTTGGTACATGTTGTAGACTCATGGTGCTCACCACAGCGAACACAACGAGGGGAGTGATTGCAATAGCCACGAGTGTGGCCATAAGTCTGACAGCGGTGGCATTGCGGAATTACTTTTTTAGGGTGGGGAATTTCAACTTTAATTTTAGTGTAACACAATGAAGTAAGTTTGAAAATTTCAGAGTTTGTTGGACTTGGTTCGATATCAACAAAGAAGATCGGTAGGGGGGTATTGGTTGACTTGTGAGTTATAGGCATTATGTTTCTAGTGACAAATCCTTTATTTAAAAGTTCCTGCTTAATAAAAGAGGTATCGGTGGAATGATGCATGTTTCTAATTACGACGCGATAAGGTTTTTCCTCCTTTGATTGGTATGAGTGAAATGATACGTTATTATTTTTGAGGTATTTGATGACTGATCTATAAGAGTCAGGACTGTATGTTTGTAGTTTAAGACCTTTGGTAGAGCTCTTGCAGTCAAATCCAGAGGTATCAGTTAATTCATTAATTTTTTGACAGAAGTTGTTGTAATTTATTTGTTCTTGAATAAAGATCAGAGGAGGTTTTGAAGTTTTATTATCATTGTTTAAAGATTGAGTTTCAACTGTTTCCATTGGTTGAACTTCGTTAGTAGAAGCAATCGGAGTGAAACGGTTTGCAGAAATAAAAATATTTGTGTCTGTTTTTTTTGTGTTAGGAGAAGTGTGGTTTGGAGATCTATTTCGTTTCGTAGAATTTGTTGGAACTGTTTTCCAATCGGATTCATTGCCTGATAAGTCAGAAGGGCAGCTATCGCCCGTTTGATCCATTAATGTGTTGGAGATAATGAGTGGTGGTGGAACAGTTTTAATAGTAGACTTTTTAATTATTGGTGATTTGGGAATTTTGGTGATAGGTGTTGATGGGCAATTAGACTTCATAATTATAGTTATGTAGATAACTATAATGATGTAGGATAAATAATAATTTATAGGTTGGCCTTGGGGAAAGTTCAGATAATTTATACATTACCGACGGTACGAGTACCGTGACGAGCGCTGGACACGGTGAACAATACACACGCTATCGGGAGCTGATAAAGCGGAGCGCGTGACAATTAACGTGTGGACCGTACGAAGTCTAACTTAGAAAACTAGAAAATACTGGAATTATTAGAAAATCGTTTTTCTAACTCGTTAATAATTTTGTTTGAAATTGACAAAAACAATTTTGCACGAAAATAATTGATCGATAGAAGTTGTTTATTTTTAATGATTTATTTTTATCAATAAAAATTATTTTTCTAAGTTTCAATCAACCCTAATTAATTTGAGCAGATACAGATGGAATATTTGTAAATTTGTTCATTAGTTATAACTTATAAACAATGAGCACGATGGATCATTAAATATTCCAAATACCTTTTTGAGTGGTTTTTTTTTTCATCATTGAATCTGTCTTATATGATTTAAAACACGGCTAACTGTAACTTAACGTCAAACATCCTTTGTTTCGTGAGAATTTTTTAAAACATAGCACAAGAATTTAGTAATCCGAACAACGACACTGAAGTAGTTGAAATAAAGGTAGCTTTTAAAAGAATTGAATTCAAACAAAAAGCATAATACCTAACGTCAATTTGGTTGGTGGCTCTTTTTCAAGCCACCGTTGGTTAAGCTACCAATACATAGTTTAATATCAATATTTTTCTCTAATAAATTACTTAATACTAAATCATAAAGAGCTTGACCAGTCGTTTTTTTAGGAATTTCGCATACAGTAGGTTCCGAATTTTGAAGATTGTTTTGCAAAATGTATCTGACGACGGGACAAACATTTAATACGGAAATGTCTCGAATTGTGTCAACTTGATTGAAATGAAAAAAATTATAGAGATTTTAAACATTTTAATATTAAACTGTCTCTAAAATAATAATTATAATTTTATTTGAAAATTTCAACAAGCTAGTTAGCTACTTATTTTTCAATTACAACCAAATGAAAAATTAAAATTCGTAAAAAAATTAATTTAACGTAAATTATAGATTATTATATGCTTTTTTTATAGTCAGTGCTTGTTTAAAATAAATAAAACACTGATAATCTTTATGTTATAGATTTGAAAGAATATACAGTAAATTGATTATACCAGAATGGAACGTCACGCAGTTCAATATTTTAAGAATGAAACAAATTTCGACTTCTTGAAATACTTGTAATTTACAAATTAATAATTAACAATCGTAATGGTTATTTAAAAAATATATTTTGGAAAATTAAATAGCTTACATCGTTTTATCAGTTAATGATATGTGCCCATTTTTTAAATTGATTGTTTGATAAATATTATTCTCCTAATGAATTATAAAAACCATAATTACCTATTCACTTTTAAATCAAAAAATATATGAAAATCTACAGTGGGTCAAAAAAGTCTCTGTACACAGATTCTTAAATAAAATAAAATATTAATTTAAAAGTTGAATAACTTTAAATTTTTTACAAATATTTATAATCCGGTCCATGAGATCCGACCATAAACCGACTGCAAAAATTCGTCCGTCGCTTCTCATCGGTTCCCAATCCATATAGGTACCAAATCATACCGATTGGAAGTCAGTCAACAATGATCGCTAAAAGACATCGTTAACATTCGTGTATATGTAGCAATAGCACGTCGCCTCAGTTCAAAATTGAAACAACTCCAAAAACCATTATTGAAGAATAACAGTTTTAAAAAACCTAAAATTTTAGAATATTTTACATCATTTTTGTTTATGGATAAAAAATTCAAATTTGAAATGTACTTCTTACTGTAAAAGCTAAACTTGATTATAATATAATTTTTAAGTATCATTAATTTAGAAAGAGTACATAAACACATATATTAGTATTGAATGAAAATACTATAAACTTTTTGAATTCGACATATAGTAATATTGAACTAAAATTCTGATTATATATACGCAACTACTAGACTTATTGTATTATTGAACTGAAACATTATACACATAGATTGATATATTGCATAAATTAACTTGGATAATAATTGTAAACTAGGCAGGTATAATACAAATACGCTATAATACAAAAATGTAGTCTTGGGTAAATAGATTTACACTCATACCACCATTTCAATGGGTCATAGGTTCTGTCAATTAATGGCTTTTGCATGTACTTATCCAATTCAATTAAACTAGCAGCAGTTGGATTTTGAATACCTTTTAATTTATCAATTTTATCTTGATAAACATTTTAAAACAGAGAAGGAAAAAGTTTTGGAGTACTTTCTACTGTTTCTGATGACTACCAAGGATTTGAATCTGATAGTAATTTTATATTAATTATTCTTGTTTTTAATGTACCTAGTAAATGCTTTGTCAAATTTATTTTCATATACATAAAACCATATTTTATAAATCTAGGATCAAGGATTGCTGCTAATGAAATTATTGCATTGTCTTAATGTATTCAAAACGTGTTTTTAATTCATCTTTGAGAGAATTAGCCATTTGATTTACTTCATAAGGAATATTAATATTTGAGATGAATATTTCTACTGTATGGAATATATAACTCAGGGAAAAAACGGTAATAATCCAATTTTATTGATTTTTATTTTATAGTTTCATTCAATAGCAGATTAAGATTAGTGTTGAATTTTGAAATCAATTAAGTGAAAAAATCTTTTAGTCCGCTGTTATTAAATGGAAAAGATTAAATATGCTGATGAATAAAGATTATAGTCCATGTAGTTGTGGGGAAAACAATTTGAAGTCCAGCTCCGAAATATTTATTTTATTTTTTCCCTTTCTGTTGTATCTACTACAAAAATAATACAGAAAACTGTAGCTATATTAAGAAGTATTTTTGATAATTTGGTTATTTATTATATTGTACCATGTACGTTATTTCCCATTATATGTTTCGCATAATTTACAATACCTATACGATAATATTATATTGCGATAGCATTAATATCATTAGTTTTTACATTTTCGTCATTATTTCTGCTGTTCTTGCTATAATCAGCAGTTAGTTCTTGACGTTCTTGTGTTTACTTTTCAATTATTCATAGTGGACAATGAATTTAGTGATTTTGATGATGATATTAACAGTAAGCAACAGACATAAAAAAAGACTTAAAATGAGTAAAGAACGGGATGTTTTGAATAATAACGTGCTACTATACATGAGTTAGGACTCTACTGCAAGTGTTAACATTATCGTTGTTTCAAAAATATTTCTGATGAAGAAAGGAAGCGAATCATTAAAGAGTTTTAACAGTCTAGAGAACTACAATAACCAGAGTAAGTATCTTTGCGGACTTATTACAATATTACCGATTATGAGGAGGCGCAGTCAACTTAATGACAACAATGCTCATTACAATTTGGTTAGTTATGTATGCCTCCGCGTGCGTGTTTTTTGTGATGATACCTTAAAAAACACTCCTGTTTGCATAAAAGCATTTCCTTGCAAAGTATTTCTGAAAAACGTGTAAACGTGTACAAACTCTCAGGGAATCGTTATCAACTACGGGAAACATACCTATAGATAAAAGAGGAAAACATAAAAATCGTTCTAGAAAACTTTTGGATGAAATTCTTAACGAAGTAAATGATTTTCTAAAATCACTGAAAGGTAGCAAGTCTCACTATTCTTTAAAAAATTCAAAAAAAAATATAATTACCTGAGACTCTAAACATAAAAAAATTGCACTCGATGTTTGAAAACAAAAAACCTAAGTACAAAATTTCATATGAATCATTCCGTGACATTTTTGAAACAAAATTTAATGTTAGTTTCGGTTATCCTTGTAAAGATACGAGTACATGCAGTGTATATGATTCTCAAAAGGCTAAGGTTACCACTCTTACGGAAAAACTTAAAAATGCAACCCCTTCGTCAGCAATCGTCGTAAATTACAACTTTCAATTTATTTCAATAAATTTTCAAAGTTAATATATATTTTAATAAAATAATAGTTCAAAAGCATATTTTTCGTTTAAGAATTAGATTAGTAGAAGCTTATAAACTTTGTATTTGCTCTCCTGAACAATTTACAGAAATGGGCTACAACCGTTTTTCCCCTGTACCCTCAATTACTTTGAAATAAAACAATTTGTGCCCAAAGTTTTGATAGACATTCAAAAAGTGAATTGCTTGGAAGTGTGCAAGAAGCAGAAACAACTGTGTATGGATGATCTTAGTTTAATGGATAACTTATCACTGGTGATGAGTCATTGGTATTTGAATACGATCCAGAGTCGAATCGTCAGAGTACGGAATGGCACACGATGAAAAAGTTTCGCGTGAAGTCAATGGTCATTGTTTTCTATGATGTTAAAGGGAATTGTGTACCACGAGTTTGTACCCACTAGCCAGACTGTCAATGTTAAATTTGTATAAGGAAGTGCTTCAAAAGCTGAATCACAGAGTCACCCGCATCCGAAAGAAATCCAAGCGTTATGGAAACTGCATCATGACAATACAACATCTGACACAGCCTTTGTCACCTTCTACTTGACTCGGATTGATGTCAAAACGATTTTTTAGCCATCCTACAGTCCAGACTTGGCCCCAGTGGATTTCTTTTTATTTCCTCGGCTGAAAAGAGAGCTCAAAGGACATCATCTGAGCACCCTGGAGAATGTTCAAGGTACTATGAAGACCTTACTGAACAGTATTCCGGCAGAGGAGTCCCAGGGAGCTTATACAGCATGGAAATCACGTTGGCAAAAATGTATTGAAGTGAAAGGGTCTTATTTTAAATAATATTAATTTGTAGTTCTTGTAAATTAAAAAAAAAAAATCAGGCTGATTACTTTCCGGACAAACTGAATAAAAACTGGTAATGAATGTAAACAAATCTCACATTTTGTAGATTTAAGTAAAGGGCGGCATAAGTTACCGGTGTCATAGTAAATAACAATTTCAATAAGTTCTGGAGATTAGTAGTTATCTTCTATGAACTCCTCTCAATCTCAATCATTCTGTTCATCAATTGAATCTAAATGGTCTTATAACTTTTGCAGAGTTGTTTTTTTCAAAATTTCTTCCAAAAACGGACGGTACTTAATTTGTTGGAGATGTTTCATACCCAAATTTCCATAATGCCTAAATTATTATAGTTTTTGTGTTTTTTTTTTTTTTATTGGTGCTACTTTATTTTTTAATGCCAAATCTGATGCACGTAAATAATTAATACATAGTACCTATGACTTTGGAAAATAATTGTTTTACATAAAAATAACTCAATACAGAATATAGCTATCTTTAAAATTTAAGTATAATGGAAATACAAGACATATACTGTGATTTTTATTCGAAAGACTTTTAAAATAATAATAATAATAGGCTTGAATAACTATAGTTATTGAAATATTTACATTCTAACCGTAACCACTCAGGTTTAAATTTTGTATAAACAAATCGAAATAATTATCATAATCAAAGAAAAATTTCAACAAACTACTAATTTTTTTTTTTTAATACGTTGATTTTATAACAATTATGGTTAAGATTCAGTTTTCAGTTAAAAATGCTGTTATTCAAAAATACACTATCTTTTTAACAGTGGTTTGTCTAGTAAGTAAAATATTTACAAAACAAAATATATAATTATCTTGCCGTATAATATATTATATGGTCAAGTTGTTTCACATACCGACTTCGAATCCCAACTCACACATATGTTTTGTAACGTTACACAAGGTTATGACGTTTATGAATATGATGAATCGAATACACTACATTGGGGCCAGTTATGCCCTTGGAGCAATATTAATGGTAATTTATTATTTCTTGCTTTAATGTGAAAAACATAGTCATTCTTTTAATTAAATATATGCAATGTAGGAATGGATTTTAAATGTATAAAATTGTCTTAGCATATTTTTACTTATATTTGAGTAGATAGTTAAAAATATTAAAGTCCGAAAATAGTTCCAAATGTTTTTTATTTGACTTATTAAATTATTCTATGTTTTATTTAAACTGTATGGAATAATTCTAAGTTTTTAAAATATTCAAAGTCTAAATAACTATTTTAATAAAAATTATTTTTAATCCTTAAATATAAAAACTGGCACTGACTTACGTGAAGATGCTTTCTCCAATCTGAAATAGTCATATTTCGTGCTTTTATATTTTATACTTTTCACACTTCTTTGTCAAATCCTTGATAGCCCAACAGTGCACATTAGTTGTAATACGATTGTAACGTGCGATGATTGAATTCCAATACTACAGCCGGGTAATATGCCTACATCTTACACCTAAGTTTCGTCAACCGTAATTATTGTAGCTCGTTTCCTCGCCAATATTTATCATTATTGTATTATGATATGGTTATGAATGATTGTTTAGGATTAATGATTTATTGCTATTGACCGAATATTGTATGAATAGTAAAATATATGATCCATAATAATAAATGAGAGTTAAAACGAGATTTTCCAAAATATCAATATGAAATAAGATATATTATAACTAAAATTGTAAGAAAAACATTATTATTATTTTATTATATAATTAATGCATTAATAAAAAAAAAGTTTAGGTAAAGTTAGGTACATATAATAACATGGTTTTGGTAATTGTTTATTTTTCTTGACATGATTTTTTTTTTTTTTGAATACTTGATACTAAATTCATTAATATTTGGTTAATAATTATTTTTAATAAAGTATATGCAGCACTGCACTCATTAGTTAGTTGGGTTCTTGTATCAGATTTTATAAAGCTAATTTGTGAAAATATAGTTATTGGTATGAATAAGTTTAAAAAATAATAAACAAATTAGATAATGCTATTATTATTAAAGTGAAACTATTAAAATTTTGTTCCCTGTATTTACGAATTGTACGTATTAATCTGTCTATTCCCTCATGCTGAATTTCTTCCAATTTATTTCTCAGTACAACGAATTTTTGTTTCCAAATGTTACTTAACTAAAAATCTACAAGCTGCTTTTAAAAACCATCTAAATTTAACCATTCAAACACTTTTAAGTTAAGTTTTTCAATGAAAATTTGTCTGGATAAATATTTTCATGGTTTCTTCAAATTGTTTAAACTAAGTGAAGCGTATAGAAAATTTATTCATAGCTGTCTCATCAATACTTTAATATTCTTGGATAAGATGATTATCATGTTTTTATTAAAAATCACATTGTAGTTTAATATTCAATTAATTTAAATGCTGAATGAAATCTACAAAGAATATCAATTAGTCTGTAAGTCAGATAATTCATCATGTATTTGACTTTTCTAAACCAAAAACCACTTAGTTTCGTTAAAGCACTCAATAAACTAAGCCAGCCAACATTACTAAACATAATTAAATCTCTGTTCACTGAATTTACTTCTTTTAATAGATTTTCAAATTTTCTTTTATTCAAACCACCTGCAACTATGAAATTCACTATTTTAATAACGAGTTTTATTATAATTTCAAATGATTTGAAAGTATTTTTTTACATACGATGCTTATTGTTGTATAACACAGTGAAAATTTAGTAGGGTATTTCCTACGTGTTTAGTAAATAAATTAACAAATCTCAGTTCTTTACCACTTATACTAGCTGCGCCGTCAGTAGAAACATAAATAATTCTTGAGAAATCCACATTTGTGCCTCAGAAACAGTATTTACAACAGCTTTGAAAATATTATTACTTTTTGTTATTTCTTGCAATAACTCCAATTTTGGTTTTCTTCTTTAATTTTATTACTAACAAAATACCTACTAAATAAAGGTAATCGAGCAGAACCAGTAATGTCTATACTCTTATCAAGACAAATAGAAAATAAATTACACAACATAAAATCTATTATTTTTTGATTTTTGATATTTTCTGTAATTTTTAAAACCCGGCTTTTTACAGTATTTTTGGTCACGAGGAAATTCTTTATCGTTGCATAATTTTGTTTTTATGCAAAATCTTCAAATAGAAATGATGTAGTTTCTAGCATTAAATCTTTATTATATTTTACATACCTAAAAGTCTTTCCGCACTTTGCAAAAACATTTAATACAGCAAAACTAGCAGGAAAAGTATTTGAATTAATCTCAGTAAAGTATTTTTATGCAAATGTTTGTTCTTAATTGTTTGTAAAATATTCTATTTTTTTTCTTTTGTTTAAAAAAAATAAAAATAAAATATGATTAGATTCATAATGTCGTTTAACAGGCGATGTAGATATTTATTATGATTAGTGATTATTGACTATTAGGGTAGGTACATAATATAATGAGCGTAGGGCTATTTGTCATTCAGTAATGATTATACAGTTTTATCTGTAGATATTAATATAATATTGCGTTCAGTATGTTAACTGTGTTTTTAACGAATTTACTAATCTAATCTTTTCTGAAAGACGTGGACCATACCATAAGTACCTACTGAAAAAATACTAACATTATGATGTTATTAATTATTAAAAATATTTATTTAATATGTATAATTATTTTAGTTTTTGCGTACCAACTCGAGCACACGTGCTGTGAATTTGTTATTCCTGTCCTATAGTGTGAACGACTTAGATAGTTATTATTTCCTTTTCGTTATGCGGTGCAATGTAAAAGCCTACATCGCAGGAAAAATGGATCTTGAATTATAGTAAAGCTGTGCCTTACAATACATGATTTTTTAATGTTTTAATTGGTTTCGACCTAAGTCTTGAATATTAATATCATTGTATATTAAAACGTGATTCTTATTTTCTTTTTTAAATTAATTGCTGATAGCGACAAAATAGTTATTGGTATTTATAATCATTTGAAGAGTTGTACTTCAGATCAGGGACTGGAACCTTGATGATTTTTACGGTTCCGGTTCCGGTGAGGTTCCTAGTAAAACTAAAATTTGGGTTTCGGTTTTTTTTCTGTTTTAAAAAAAACTAAAATTTGAGTTTCGGTTTCTTTTCGGTTTTAAAAAAAACCATAATTTCGGTTTCGGTTCCTTTTAGGTTTTTATATTTAGGTTTCGGTTCTTATAAAATTAAAATTACGTTTCATGTTTAAGTTTTATACTTAGAAAAATTTAGTTCCATTTCATATATAAGTAGTTTCAGTTTCAATACTCAATTGTTAACAATTATGACAGGTAAATAACCTCACCCTGACATCCTACCAAATGCTTAGAACTAAGAAGAAGACTAAATAAGTAAAAAAAAATACTCACCACTATCACTTAACTAGCATAACCATTTTTGTTTTATTTTTATTTTAAAATTTTTTACCTAGTTTATAATTTGACTGCAATGTATCACTTACTAATTAGTAATTACCAACTATTACATCCTGATTCAGTGTTTAAAATTTTAAAATATCATCAATTTTCTTTTTATTATTACCACATATTATATTTTCTTAAGCCAGAGCTCTGCAGTTGAGGATTCCAGTAGATATTATTTTGATTAAAAAGTCTGTTCCACTTTCACACGATTTTAATAGATCAGTACTTAACCTCATAGTCTTAGATATATAATAATTATAAATCTTTACATTAAAATAATCTGTGATACCTATGTGAATATTAAAAATTTAAAAAATTTATGGATGCATCTTAATAATACAAACAATTGAAATTCTATTAATATTTAATGGTGACTCATCCATAAAATCAATTTAATAGTAATTATTATAACAAAAGAAAAGACATTTGAATATTTAATAAAAAGGTTAACTTTAACGCCATAATTAATAAATAACAATAAAAGTATTTAAATTTTATAATGAAAAAAAAATCCTTTATAATTTTAAATTTTATGCAACTTATACATAACATAACAAATAACAAATAATAATTAAAAAATAAATAAATAAAAATTATAAAAATGTAAGATACATAGCAAAATCTTACTCTTTTGATATAATTTTCTTCTCAAACAATCTATTTGTACGAACTATCAATTGATTTTCTAAGTTGATCGATGTTATATTACTTCTGTAAGGGGATAAAATAAACTTAAGTCCAGAAAATAACCGCTCAACACTGACTTGAGTAGAAGGAACAGCAAACACTATTTTGGAAAGTATATACAATTCTGGGTATGTGCTTTCCATTGACTTCCAAAATTGTAATATGTTGATTTTATGATCCAATCTTTTTTGATTTAAATAATATGTTTTAAGTACATTTTCAATAATTGTTGAAGTAGTATTTTGACTTGAAGAAGATACTTCAATGCTTTCTTTTTCTTTCAAAAATTGTTCGATAGGGTCAGGATTTTGATTAAAATCAGGATTATCACTTTCAGGCATTTGGTCTTCCATACTTTCTTGGTTATCTTTTGTGTTTATTTTATTATCCTTTAAATAAACCCAAATAGAAATTAAATGATTAATGGCTGAATTATACTGTACTTCATTTAATGTTACTTTGAAACGGGGATCAAGAAATATTGCTGCCAACAACACTTTGTTATTCATAATAAATTGTTCCCTGTTTTCCATACATTTTACTAATTTATTAGAAAATGGATTCTCCAGTAACCGTGTTTCAATTTTGCACGAAATCCATGCACCATAAAAATCTGACAAAGTCAATTGTTCACTTTGAAGTTTTTTGGTACAAATTTTGGCTGGTAATAAAGTTTTTGTAAGAATTTCAACTTGCTGCCAATCAAAATTATTCAAACTAATTTTTTTTAATTTGGGGTCATTTGCAACCATAATTTGTATAAATTCTTTTAAATGTTGTATCCTCTCTATCATATCATATGTTGAATGCCAACGAGTCAAACAGTCTAGAATTGGTAATTTAAGTTTTTCTTTTTTTATCAAATATATGAAGGTTTGATTACGCAGTTTCCGAACTAATATTCGAACTTTATTTAATAATTTATCCACACCATTATCTTTTAGGCTGTCTATAACTGCTAGTTGTAGAGTATGCGCTATACAACGAATACCTGTAATAAATTTAAATTTAATTAATCTTCAATTAATTATTATTAAAAGAATTTATGGTTATATTATTACCTATTTGTATTGTTTATCATAATAAATCACTAAACCAAAAAATTATAATAAAATTACCTGTAAAAATTGAACCACCTCCTAAATTTTGTAATTGAATTTCATTTAGGATTTGTTCTGTTTGTTCATATGTTGAATCGACACATTCAATATCTTCATTTAATAAATTTTCGATTTTTATGTCATCAATTATAGAATGATCTGCACCAGTTTCACTAGGTATTACAAAAAAAGTGTATAATTTTAATTATAGATGAGTTACAGGAACTATTACAAATCTACATTAATGTAGGTATGTATGTATAATAGCTAAACTTATGTCTTTGTCTAAATTCATAAAATGTAAATTTAACTTCAATATTATTTAATCAAAAATAATAGTTTATGAAAAAAAATGATCATTTACCTATCACTACATTCATCATCTGAACTTGATAAACTTGAGTGTATTTCAGCTACATCATTTAAAATGTCATCATCTTCACCAGTATTATGATATTCATTAGTTGTTGATATATCTTTTTCAACTAAATTTATCGCTTTAAGCATGTTTGCACCATTGTCAGATGTAATTGTATACAATTGCTTTGGTTCAATTTTAAACTTTTTTAATAAATTTAAAATTGCTTCTTTTAAATAAATACCTATAAGTGGAAGCATGAATAAGTAACATAAAATGTAAATTAACAAAAATGTATCTTAAAGTTATTATTATTCACCGGTATGCGATTCAGTTAATTCTATTAATCCCAGTGTTCTGAGTTGAATAGAATCATCCACTATATATTGCATATTCACTCCTAAAAATGACCTATTTAGTCGAGTAACTGCATCTAATTTGAGAGAAATCAGTCTAGAACTAGCTTCAGTTATCATATCTTTTTTAATAAGAAGTGACTCTTCGTGTACATGTTTTCTAGAAGAAAAAATGATATACTATTAATTATTACACAACGTGCTAAATTTAGTTAGGATAAAAAAAAACAATATTTTTACTTAATGGAGTCTGAGTTAATTTTCAGTTTCTTCTGAAAACCATTTAAAACTGGATCGAGTATTCTACGAAATCCCGAATCGTTCAACATGCTGAATGGCCGTCCATTAATGGTAACGAGATCAACACAAGCATCAATAATTGATTTTTCACTTAAGTTAACTTTAACATACTTTGAATCTTTAAAATTAAATAATTGTTGTTGAGCTTTGATCTTTGAAACACCAACTGTTTTTTTATCTTTTCTAGATTCTTTTAACAAAAACTCTTCATACAGTTCATTATGAAAGCTGGCAAGATGTTTTTTTAAATTTGTACCATGATTACCCTATACAAAATACAAATAAGACTTTAATTTGAGGCAGTCAAAAATTTTGTTTAGGTTGACTATTATTAGAATATCAACTAATTTTTATTATTATCAATAATATATATACATATATTTATATAGGATATAAGTTTTTTAATTTGTGAACAGAATAAATTTTCTTTTTCGTGATTTTAGAGCATATAATAGCGCTTATTTTAAGATTTTAAAGGAAATATTATAGCGTATATTTAAGTAATTTTTAGCGCTACAAGATCCAAGCCATGGACTTAAAATAGTATAGTATACTTAAACTAAATAGTAAATAGAGAGTTGAAATCTTAAATTTTAAATAGGTAGATAATATTCTAAATATTTGTTGAAAATTTACTTACTTTAATTTTGCAAGTACAATGCTTACACGACGACTCACGTAAATTACAATCATATTTATAATACGAATGTATTATTGAGGAATTAGGACGACCCATAATCACTTTTAATAATACGTAAAGTTGAAATAAAAAGTTTCAATTCGAATCCTTGTGCATCAAATTATAAATTATATCAAAACACAAGACACTAAAAACTAGTGTACTAGTCCAGTAAACACTAAGACACTATGAATATTGACAAAAACACATTTACCGCTTTTAGGCGTGCTGTACGTCAGATAAAGATATAAATATATAATATAAATATTATCCACAATCATAACATGCCTAGTTATTTATAAACATATTTTATGAATTTCTTATTATTGTGGTAACTAGAAGTCTGGAAGACCTATTTGTGTATATTGAGACTATTGAGTAGGTATTACATAATGACTTATTTTTGTTGGTTTATTTACATTATCAGTTGTTACATAGAAATATTTATACTTTACGTCTCAGAAGACATCTGAATTCTGTATAAATACTTGAATGATTATTTTTGAATATTATTAATCCTCGTAATAATAATAATCATAATATATCTATTATCTACATAGATATTTGTTTAGTTCATAATTCTTATTATTTATTGATGAAAAATAAAAATAATGAAATTATTACAAAACCGAAATTAATCTTAAGAACCTTTACTTAAAAGTATCGGTACCGGTAAAGTTACGGTTTTTAAAATAATTTAAATAAGGGTTCCGATGAGGGTTCGGGTTTTTAATTTTATCGAAATTAGGGTTTCGGTGAGGTTTCGGTTCCCAATATTCAAAGGGTTCCGGTTCCAAAACCGGTTCTTTTCGGTACGGTTCCAGTCCCTGCTTCAGATATTAATACAATAATATTAATTTGTGTGTACCTATGTATTTGTAATAACAAAGATTATTGCTTGCAAACAATATTGTGCATTGTTGGGTTAAGTTAATACCATTTAGAATTAATGTTTAATTAAGTAATACGCATATCATAAAATTAACAATAATTTATGAATGACATTTATTTTAAACTAACCATTGCTTACCTATTTTATAATATTGCTTAGGGAATAACCAATCACATCCATAACGCATTAACCATAACAGGAATAGGATGTATTTTGGACATGCTTCATCTAATATCCCGTAACTATAAGTAAGTATATAGTGTTCATTTGTTTATTATTATTGATGTATTAGAGTTTTTAAATTTTACTTACAAAACTTATAATCTTTTATGCGTTTACATTTTATACATTTTATTAGTTCGAGTTGGGCTTCAGTCAGATATTTTCAATGTATAATAAATATTCTTGGTAAGTATGTATTTTTTATACCTACATAATAAATATAAAATAATTAATAATAAGTTCGTACAAAATTCTAAAAATAAAATTATTTAAAAAAATATATTTTGTACCAATTTAAACCTATGAGTATTTTATATTAATACAGTGAGTCCCGCTTAATGTTATCACATTAGTTTTGGTCATTTTAATTCTATTGACCGGTTAATTCCACGAATAATTTTTTTTTGTAATAATTCTGTATTTATATAAATACTTAGTATAAAAATAAAATAAAATAAATATATTTAAAATTGAGTTAAGAAACTATCTATTTTCAATTGTACTTGAGAATATCCTAATTTTATTTTAATTAGATGATGTAATAATATTCTTTAAGTAATCTTCTGTATTTTGATGATCTGCATATTATTCTTCCACTTTTTTTTTTTTTTATAATAACATTGTTTCTATTTTTTTAATGATTCCACCTCCTAATCGTTGAATTAAAATTACACCAAATTTCAAAGCTAAATTTATAGCTTTCTATTCTAAAATAGAACTATTGACTGGTATATTTAAATTTTTAGCTTGTTAAAACCATTGTAGCTTAATAAAAAGTTTTCTACATTAACATTTTGTCCATTTTTTTTTCTGTTTTCAAAAAAAAGGTAAATTTTGTTCTTTATGTTCAATAATTTCCTGACGATTTTTTAGAATTTTGTTTAATGTAGGCTATAGAATTTTCAGAGCTAATGTGGCTTTTCTTTGAGAACATTCCTCTAATTTATTAAAAGGAACGATTAAATCTATTTCCTCTTTTATTGTCAAATATTTAAGTTTGCTTGACATTTTAGAAAAATTTTTGATCACGAACTGTGTATAATAAACTAAATGACATGAGTATAAAAATAACTGAATAACGTGGTGCATAATAATACACTGTTATACTCTGAAAAGTTCAAAAATAAAATCAGTAAGTTCGAAATACTATAAAATTTTTTAAAAAAATGATGAAAATGTTCATAAAAGTGATTTAATTATCCGGCTCTTGGTGATTTTAATAAAAGGTTAATTTAACATAAGTCGCATAAGATATGGCTTGGGACTTTTATTTTTGATTCCAATAAATAGTTGATTTTATGCACCAGTGAAAATGTTAAGCGGAACTTATTGTAGCTTTATTGAGTTTTTTAACATCTAAATCTTGAGTTTAATATAGCTATCGTTTACGAGTTAATGTACATGATAATGTTGCATTGCTATTGGCAGTATACTGAAGCAGCTAAAATTCAACCACAAACATCATGGTTAAAAAACCAAACGATATTACCCATAAAATTAGGACGATTCGGTGCTGCAGGAGTTCAAAATCCAAGTGTTTCAATACCACAAAATGTTCAAACAACAGAACCAGATTCAGCTATGAAGTCTACTGTACTAATGCAAGAATCAAATGCAGTAGCGCAAAATTCTATTACAGAAACATCAGAAGTGACGACAAAATCTAGTCAAGCATTAACAAAACTTAATGTAACAATTCCGGAAGAAAATGTAGTGTCAGAACCTACCGCAAATATAGAATCTAGTGAAACAGCAGAACTTAGTGTAGCAGTATCAAAACCCACGGTATCATCAACAGAACCTAATGAAGAGGCGCTCAATTCTATTGTAGTAACGCCCGAACCTATTGAAACGACGGAACCTGGTGAAAATGCAACAGAACTTAATGATGCGTTGGCAGACTTTATATCACCTGTGCAGGAATCAAATTCAGCAGTGTTAGACTCAGAAACACAGAAACCTATTGAGGCGATAGAATCTAAGCCAACATCAGAATCTGATAAAAAAGCTTCAGAAAAAAATATTATATTAATGGAGCCCGATAAAAACGACTCAGAAAATAATGTTACTCAACAGCAACATGATACGGTAATTCCAGTACCAAATGAAGAGAAACAATAGTTAATTACAATTGAAACTAAGAAAGAAATGTTGAAAATAAGATAAACAGATAACTTCGTACTCACACATCAAAGTAGTAGATGACTACGGTCCACATTTCTATTTTATTTTTAAACTGTTTAGCAAAGTAGCTTATACGAATTAAATACTAGAAAAATAAATAATATAAAACACTTTTTGATTATGAATCATTCACACTAAACCGATATTGTCAGCGTTGTCTTACACCACTAATCAAATTATGCAGTACTTCGCTACCGTCATGGCAATACCTCGCATCTCAAGTTTTTAAAATTGTTCAGGAGACACAGTAAACTAGATAAATCGCTTTTCATTCAAAAAATTGTCATTTTTAGACTTTTATTTTATTGAATAACTATAATGCACTCGGCCAATTGTGTTATTTCCAACATTTTATTAGTTTATTTTAATTTTAATGAAATAAGTGTTATTACGTAAATGTATGTGAGATACGTATTATTCCATTGGAAGATACGTATTGTTATCATTGAATTATATTAGATAAGTGTTATTCTACACCATTAATAATAACTAAAATATTATTAATCATACTTATTTTATAGAGCTCATAAGTCATAAATAAAAAATTATAAAATGTATTGTATAAATTAAAATTTTTATATAATAACCTAACATGTTATAAGTAAATAATTTACACATAATATTTAATTTAAAAACGCACAACCTTTATTACTAATAGTTGAAGGAACACATTTTCATACCTTATTACAGTCTTATATCTAATTTAGTAATAATTACAAGATTAATTTAAACTTGAGATCGCAACCTTTTAATTTCTTGTTATTTTTTTTGTTTTAGAATTTATTCATTTATTTAAAATAAAAACAGACAAAATAAATATTTGTATAAACCAAAAAAAAAAATCAACTTTATAACTTTAACATAAAAAACAATTTACAAAATATTATATGAAATATATAAATCATATTAAAAACTTAAAGAAACATTTTATAGCTACCTTCTTCCTCGTAGTAAAAAATAAAAATATAATACTTAATATTTTAATGAACAAAAAATAAATCAACTCATATTTGAGTTTAAAAAATATTCATAAATTATATGAATACAATTATTCAATGAATTAAAAATAATAATCATAATAATAAAAACTTAAAACTATTCACAAAACACTTTATTGGTAACTATCTATTATTATGTTATAAGAAACTTAAGTCTTTATTATTAATGAAAACAGTAAAAAAAAAAAAGTTAAACTTTGGCAGTTTTACGAGTTTAATTCTTGTTCATGTGGTAGATTATCGTAGAAATCATGAACATCTTTGGGCAAAACAATTTTAAATTTCTGCAAGTCACTCCACTTTGAGAGTATTAGAACATTTCTTCTTTGGTATAAGTTTGGTACCTACCTACTTCTTTGTTAATATCAATACTTTTTCTTGAACGATTATATTATGGAATTGCCTAATACTCATCATCAAAATCTAACTTGAAATAAATTTTTTGTGATTTTGGATCATAATTTAATGCTCTTATATCTTTTACTTTTGAATCTCCTTTAGATTTTCCAGGTCTTATAGACTTATAAAATATAACGCCTTTGTAATCGTTGAAATCTGAATGAACCATCATAGTTCATAGTTGATTCATACGGATTAGGTTTTTGGCGTGCAAGTTTGGTAAGCTTCATGTAATCCGATGGTAAATAAATTTCTTTATTTTTCAAAAATTTTTCGACAATGCTATGGACACTGTCACAAAGCATCTGTGTGTGTCCTTTAACCAAAAATGTTTGTTCAATTATAGAAAACTGGAGTAAGACATTTCGATGGTTGCACGACAAAAGAGAACAAGTGACTTACATCAAGATTTTCAAGAAAGCAAAAAAAACGATTTTTATGTTGTTTTTAATTTCCAATTTGGATCATTTTTTTTTCGTTGAATTTCCAAATATTTTTATATGTACATTTTTGATAATATTTTTGTTGTTTTTACAGTCATACATTTTTTTATTAGATAAATTAATTATTTAAGAAGTAGGAACAATTTTTATAAAATAATTTGAATTTTTGTCGCTTGTACCCCAATTTTTTATTGATGATAAATATTGTTATCACTTATCTCCTTCAAATTGTAATCGCATTTATTACATAATTTAATAATAAATGTAATTATATCATTAGCTTTATTTCTTTTAATAAAAAGTATTAATACAAGTAAATTTATTTATTCTAATATATAAAAATATATGATACGGAATCAGATTCTAACTTGTTCCTGAAGTTAATTCGAACATTCAATTCATGTTTCCAAATGACATCGTTCGGAGCAACAGAAATAGTTAAAAATAATGCTGCAAATAGTCAACAATTTAATTCAACATTCAAAATCAAAGGCCAAGTTTATCATAGAGTGGGCTCATTGCTACCAATTCCAAACGAACCACATACATTTTTACAAATTTACTTTATGGTCGGTGAGGATATTTGGTGTTTTGTTATTTTTATGGGCGGTCATCATTCACAGTGTTCCATTCATCTCAGACATATACCAGTATATACGACATTCCCTATCACTTACAATAATTTAATTATTTTTTATTTGAATACCAAAATATTCATTAGATATAATTTATATGGCAAAACAACGTTTGCCGGGTCAGCTTGTTAAATATAAAATAAATACAATTACTGTGTTAAAAAACAATGTATTTTAAAAATATAAATTTGTTTATATTAATAAAAATCAATGGATAGTAATAAAATTTAATATATTCATTTATTCCAATATTATAGGGACTTGCCAAGTAATTTAATAAATATGATAAAAACAGCATAATGTAAAACTTAACAAAAAAAAAAAATAATAACAAAAATTAAAAAAGCTATCTCTTTTAGTTTACTTTAGAGTAGATATACACTAAAATATAATTATAAATTATGATAAAATTAAAATTATTTTAGACCTATTTCGATTCCAAGGACGTAACAGTCAGTTTCTGGTAAAGCATCATTTATGGTCAGGTCTGATTGCATTAATTGTAGATATTCATCATGATACTTCTGTGGTATTATACTACCATTACAAAGCTTAATGAGGTCAACTCTCTTCTCATTTGATATGTATATTTAAACTTTTATCATAGCACTGTGATAATTCTGTAGTTTTATTTTTATTTTTTTTAACTTTAAAATTTTAGAATTTTCTTCGGATTTGTATGTAAAAAAAAACATGAATTTCAGGAAGTCCTTCTAAAGGTTTTACAAAAAGGAAAGACTTAACTTTAGTAACTAAGATTACTTCTTCATCTGTGGTTTTCAATACCTTAGTAAAAAATTGAGTTGCTAATTTTTTCCAATCAATAAAATCCGAATATTATAAATTTTTAACATCAATAGGAAATGGCTTACATTGTGCATTTGTAATGGAAGTGGACCATTAACTTGGTGCCCAAATAGTTTTATTTCTGACAAACGCTCAATGGTAGCGTGAATTAAATCCACTGGCATGTAGGTATATGACCGGGTAGGAGAAAAGTAATTTTAACTTCTTCAATGAATTTAAATTTTGTAGTATGTATCATAGCTAACATAGCACGGTTTTTATTTTGTCCACTACACGAGTCGCAAAAAAAAGATACTGATTTATAAATATGTTTTTTGTCCAAGTCCAATAGATATTTATACACACAAGTAAAAATTTCATTGCAACCGCGTGCTCCAGTAGTCTCACCCCATAAATATGATAGTGCGTTCTGTGAGCCAGATTCATAGATGGTTAAATTAAACATACTATACTTGCGGCTGTAATATAAGTTCATATTTGATCCTTGTGGAGTATTCAACACTTTCTGAAGATCAAAACTCATACAAATAAAATTGTATAAAATAAATAAAAATAATGCAATAGCTGAATTGAGGCTTTGGCGGTGCCACTGTGTCAGGGTAACGCACCTGAATTATACCTACCTAAAACAGATATTGATGCTCTTACTGAATGCAATTTAAAAATTTATCTGAACATTTATCTTTTAATTAAAATATTATGCAAGTTGACAGTTTCCACTATAACTCCCAAACGTTCTCAGTACTTAAACGAGTCAAAATATATTTCCATAACACAATATGTGAAGCAAGTTCATTGTTATAATTAATTATTAAAGTACCAAATTTTATTTTATATTAAAAATTAAATAATTATTAATCATTTTTAATGATTTCATGATTGAAATAGTTTAACTATGATGGCTGTTCATAAATCAATTGAAGTTAATCCTGATAATGTGATTGATAAGTTGGCTGTTTAGCCAAGAAAATTAGTTTCTTTTATAAACCGTACAAGATATATATAATAATATATGTATACATAGGTACATTATATTACATCACAAACAAAATAAATTTAATATTTTAATAAATTTAATATTCTCATTGTAAATAATTTATTATAAGTTAAATAAAGTGTGCAGAATTTTAAAGCAAACATTAATCATTTTGTATGTATTAAGTTAGCTTTAGGATTTTTGATAAAATAATATTCCCAGCTACCACTCACCCCTGTACATGAAAATTTAGTAGGTATTAATATACCTAAACGTATAATCACGCCACTGACTTAGTGCTCTATTCATATTTATACGAGCTCTGGTAATGAGATGTGGTAGCATATTATTAATAATATACAGATTTTAGGAATACTACGTTGTGTTGCGCTGTTAATGTAAAATTGCACTATCACCGTGAATTGGAAAAAAAACATGTCATGTTTTTACTTTTTAACCATCTTATTCTTGGAATGTATATTCTACTCGCACATACATCAATGTAAATTATAGAACTATATTTAATGTATTAAATATATTAATTGTATTTTGAGCTTAGTACACATATCATAATACACATTTGTTTTCTATGTATTCAATACACAAATATGTTTATATGTAAATAATTAAAATAACAATTATTATGTTCAAAACTCATTTTTACATTTCAAAAATGTTTACAAAAATTAAAAACAATACACATAACTAAATAGATAAAATTATTATTTTTACATCGTGTATTGCTTGAACAATCAAGAATTTTTTCTGCCGATTTTTCTGTAACTTTTACTAAATTATAATGATTTTAATTTTAGAAGATTCCACAGTTGTATTTTTTTGCCGCCTTCATAAAATACATAATAAATTAAATCGCGCTACACATTGCATTTTTTTAATGTTTAATTAAATATCAGCCTTACAAATTTAACTTTTAAATTTTAATATAACTAGTACCAATCGATGTCTCATCAGCAGTATACGAAATAAATATACAGAAACTACCTCCACAAACATATCAAAATATATTAAAATCATAAAATCTTATCAAATTAAGTATTGTTCCTCTTATCATTTTGTCTGACAACTGCTGATCTCCCGGTTCGCGTTTTTTTTTATCATTATTTAATTTCAAAATATATGGTTCATGATAAATTATTTGCATTCTCTGATGTGCGAAAGAGTTTAATTTCTTAAAACATATTATTGTTATTGCTTTTATTTATTATTATTTGTATACATTCATATTATGTTTTCAAATACGTCAGTTTTACGAGTTATTACACCTCGAATCATAGTGCCTACTGCCTAGTTCTTTTTTTGATGGCAAATCAAAAAAATGCTTTAAGAAAATTGTGTGATGTATCTTTTTACAAGTAAATGATTTTAATTAAATTACATATAATTTTTATTAGTAGATTTTAATAATATTATAGAAATAGAATTTAAAAACATTATCAATTATTGAATTCTGGTCCAATATGTGACCTACTATTGAATATTTATACTAATAAGTGACCCATCTCTTATTTTAACTTTCTAGCAATCAGCAAAGTACCTATTACTTTAAGTATAAAGTTATAATGTATATAAAATACCGTTTAACCAGCAACCATGTATAATGTTTTTAAGGGTTAAATAGTTGATTAAATTTAAATGACTTATATAGTTAAATTAATACACTGATATATAGAATAAAACAAGAGTTAAATATCTATGATATATCTCAATATGTTGTTCTTCCAACTTCTTAACATATGATGTTTCCTATACTTTTGTTTTTATACTGGAGTCTTGTAATATTTGGCTAACACTATTATAATTGTTTTTGTAAATCTAAATAATAGTTTGTATTACGAGGGTCATCTAGAAAGTAAGGTTACAATGGCCATGTAAGGTGGAGGAAATTTTTTTTTCCAATTTCTTATCACTGGTGGGTAGAGTGATTCCTAACAGTTAAAACAAATCATCAATTGCGTTAATATTGTTACAGCAGCCAAACACGTCAAACAGTTCCACTTACCGCAGTTGTGAGAACACCTTGAATTTCAGTTTCTTACTTTGCCTAACAAATCTGCAACTAGTATTCATCTCTAGCTTGTGGAAACCTATGGATCCAAGGTGATGACACGTGGGTGTGTCACTATACTCCAGAGTCTTAAAGGCAGTCTCTAAAGTGGCACTATACCCATTTACCACCAATCAAAAAATTTAAAATCAAATTTTTAGAAATAAAAATCATAGAATCTGCCTTTTGGGACTGAAAAGGGATATTATTTGTCAATTTTATGGCTAAAATACCACCATAAATGCATACTGTGAGTCACTTTGGAAGTTGAGAAAAAAAAATCAATGACAAAAAAAGACTCTTGGTATGTCACTCCTTCATGACAATGCCAGATCTTATACCGCCCGTCTCACTCAGGACCTGTTTATTTCATTTGGGTGGGATATTGTGACTCATCCACTTTACTCGCTAGACCTGGTACCATCGAATTGTCATCTTTTCAATAAATTAATGGAGTTATTAGGTGGACATTGATTTTCAAATGACTAAGAGGTTCAGGATGCTGTCGAAAAGTGGTTTCGGAAGGTGGAGCGTAAGTATACAATGAGAATATAAAAAATTTGGTCCTTAGACTTCAAAAGTTTATTGATCTCAAAGGAATTTATATAGATAAATAATGACATGTTTTGATAATTATCTTGAAAATTCCATTTAAATATATTAATTTTTTAATGTTTAACACATGTTGTAACTTTACTTTCTGAAAGACCCTTGTATATTTGTGATGATGTATAGTAATCATTAGTAGCTATTTGAATTGTTTTATTAGAAAAATATGTTGTTTTAATAACCCTGTAGAATTATTGTTATTTTGTTAGTATTGTTTCAAGAAATCCATGAATTTATGACATAACTTAAATAGCAAATTATATAATATTTATGTATTTTATATCAATATATTGGTACTTATATGTGTGTAGTATATATGTATATATCTTAGTAATAGCTTCATTATATGTATACTAAGTATGTTTAGAACATATTAATAAGGTAGGAAAGTAAAATAATTATAGTTTAAGCAATAGGTTGTAAAAAATTGTATTACTACAGTGGCGCCAGGGTCTTTAAAATATGGTGGTTCAAAATATCATTTTACTTAGGTGGGTGGGTGTTTGTTGGTACTGGGGTGTATAATAATATAATATCAAGTTATAATTTAGTAGGCATAATTGTAATTTATATAACTCTATGAACATATTAGATAGGTATCTTCTGGTACAAGTTAACAACACAGTTAAATAAAATAGAACATTAATTTACCGTTTGCCGTGTGCATAACTGCATAAGGATATTAAACACAGAATAATAAACATGAATAATGAATGCGTGTGTCGTAGTGTGTTCTATATTTTATCTTTGGGCAATAATTATTGTATAGATAATAATAACGCGGACCTGTTGGCTGTCACCAGTTTTAGTATAAAATGTAAAATAATAAACATCGATCTATTTTAATTTTATAAGAACCATTTAGCTTGAACAATATTTATTTTAGTTATTAGTTATTTTATTTAATATGAAAGAGGAGTACATTGTACTATTGGTACTTGTACATTTGTACTACTCGAACTCTCGAAAAAGACGTCTCTCCATCTCTTGAATCTTGATTTTAAACTGTATTTGCCATTTGGTTATAATTATAAACCATCAGATATTCATATCATTGTTGTGTCTTGTGTTTTGATAATTTAACCATTTTTCTAAATGCCTGTGAATTGTGTTACGTGTAACAAAAGTAGAAACCTTAATAAAACAAATTGGCAAGACACGTCGAGTCATGTAAAAATTAAAAACAGAAATCAATACAATTTCATTGCCGATTGTTTCTATTCAAATTATTTTCAAAAACGAGTGATGGAACTTATGAGTTAGGTAAGTGTTATTATTATTAATATAAATTAGAATTTTGTTTGTAATTACTTTTTTCATAGTCTTATAGTATTAGATACTAGAGATTAGAGAACCTAGTCTTTACGTATGTAGGTACTTATATTTTCTTTGTAAATACTTGATTTATTGAACACCTAATTTATAGATATAATTATATAATTAATAATTATCAAATAAGTATATAAAGCTAATAATATAACGTAAATATTAAATAATAGTTGGATTCTAAATGTTTGAATTTGACTTAAGTATATTAATATTTTATACAAAATATGAACATAAACTTTAATATATATTTTTACAAAATTAATATTTACAAAATAATAATGATATTCAATTTAATTCTACCAAATTAATTTTAAATCTATTATTTATTTTCTGTTCTTAGTAGATAGATACTTATGTTACTCATGATTAAATTGTAATAAAAACATACCAGGTAGATTATTTAGTGCATTACCTAATATTTTAGTTTTAATTTTCTTGATTTCAATTTTCATATAATTTAGGTGAATATCGATAACAGTTATGATAGTAACAAAATAATTAAATTGGTTTGACAGATACTAATGTAAAAACATTCAGCAGTAGATTATTGTAAATTCACCTAATATTTTTAGTTTATTAATTTTAATTATTCTTGATTTCATTTTGCATATAATTTAGGTGAATATAGATAACAGTTGTAATAGTCCACCAAAATAGTGAGTTGGTTTGACAGATACTAATGTAAAAACATTCCAGGTAGATTATTTGAGTGCATTACTAATATTTTAGTTTTAATTTTCTTGATTTCAATTTGCATATAATTTAGGAGTGAATATGGAGATAACAGTTGTAATAGTCACCAAAAGTAGATATTGGTTTGACAGATATAATGTAAAGGAAAATATTTTAGGTAAATATTAAATAACATTAAAAATTTTTGAACATATTAGAAAACAATTCTTTAATTATAATATAATACAATTTAGCATACTTTAGAGAAAATATTAAGTTGTTTAAATTTCAAGCAATAAAAACTAAATATTGCGTTTTACTAAATTTTATTGTATACATTTATACATTTGTGTTATAATATCAATTATTCTTTGTCCAGATAAGTTCGGACTGTTCATCGTACT